ATAGAGACTCTTTTCCAATATTTAATTTTGCACAGTTTAAAGAGAGCCTAGGGCTATTTGCATCTACGGGTTCAGGGTGGGGCTTATTTACCGTAGGAATAGTGGATGAGGAGTTGGAAGCCTTTATGGTCTTGAATTTTTTTCCTTTCTGAATCAGGGTGTAGCCTTGCAGTGACGTACAAGCATAAAATTATGCAAGACTGAAGGCAGTTTGGTGTGTTCTGTGCATGGCAGAGGGAATAACTGCATTGAGCTGATTGCACTTAACTAGCTGCAGGTAAAATAGCGAAACACAAAGTAAATAATAGACAAGGTGACATTCCTATTCCTGTTGAGAAAATGGGCACTTTAACTCACTACAAAGTGGGATCTTGCAGGAAATAACTGTTCTGCAATTGCAATGCACTGTACCAGTGTCTTGAAAGAATTTTCTTAAATCACATTGAAAGCCTGATGTCAACATCTGCATACAATAGATCTATATAAAAGTTGGAATAATCTGTCAGCTGGGTTAATGAATTCACGCTGGTGGCATTAGCTGCTACTGTTTTTAAACCTGAATGGTACACTCATTTTTTTAAAGTATCTAACCTCTCGTTACAATACTGATCTACTCATTTCCTGAAAATTTGCACTCTAAGACGATTTCAAATTGGTATCCCATTGTTTGTTATAATTATTAATTATCAATGTTGTACTTTCACTGCCAAAACCTAGTTAATGCTTTCTAGAAAGGAGTACAATTGATTTGAAGCTAAAATTAATTTGGCTTCAAGGTTTGAAGACAAAACTGGTTTAAGGCAGGGATCGGCCTAATAAATTAAGAAATGATGCCCTATATGCAGTCTTTTAAGTTGGAATAAAAAGGTAGACAAGGTCTAAAGTCTCAGTGGTCCAAAAACATTTTTTTAAAAAGCATTTTTCAATTGCCGGAGCTGTCTTCCTACCACCACTGCTGTTCCTGCCTCAGCTTTCAAGTGCTTTGTGAAATAGATTTCGGTAGAACTCCAAAACATAAAGTGCCTTTTTTTTTTTTTAATGAAACCCTAGTTTGTTTTTTTTCTCTACAACCTGCCCCTATGGTACTGCTTGACTTCAGGTGTGAGAAGTGAAACACAGAAGAGTAATTCAAACAGGAAAAAAAAAAAAAAACATCTTCCACTCCTATCTTTGCCTAGCAAAAGTCATTATGAAACTTGAGCAGGTAGGTACCTATCAGTGTTTTCCTGTTGGTTATTTCAACAGCACAGAGGAAGCAGTGTGTCGGTGACACAGCACTTAGCACTCTCAAATCAAAGGGCCTGTGTACAAGGGAGTTCAAACTACTTACTTCCTCCCTTCTGAATGCAGAAGTTAATACTTTTATTTTTGCTTCTGACTGTTGTAATCAGCGCTTGCTTCAGGTAAACAGTGTTCCCCAAAACCTGGGGGGCGGTAGGGGAAGACGTGTGCTTTCCTCAGTCTCCCCTGCCCAGAGGGATAGGAAGCATTCTGCATCAGAAGTTACTGCTTAGCTGGCCTTCAAAGGATGGATTGAATGCGCATTTACATTATGTGAACACATAATGTGTGTGTTTATTTAAGCAACTTTTAGTACATTTTATAATGTTAACTAGTTTAACAAGCCTTTGTATCTACATACAGTATATTTTTCTACTTTCAGCTTGTTGCAGCTTGTTTTTAACTATATAGTTTCTTCAGGTCACATCAATACTGTGTCAACTTCTAAAATAAAAAGTGCTTAACAGGACTTGTCCTTATTCTCCACTTTGTCTTGGCAAGACTGTGTATGTGGGACCAGCTGAAGTCCCACGATGCAAGTGCCTGCTGTTAAGGGGTTACGAGGAAGCGCTTCTTCCACCCGGCCTACCACCTCTCAAATCAAATCAGGCATGCGAGGAATGTGGGCTCCTGAAAAAGACAGCTAACTAACTGCTTCATTTAAAACACAAAACCTTCTCTAAAGCATGGTGGCAAAACACCTTGTATGTAGTTTTAATACAGCCCCTCATTGTAGCAGTGTCTTCAGCTGCTTCTCATTAGGCTCATCTTCATTAGGTAGGTGGCAGGGCATAGCGCGATTTCCTTTCCTCCTGCTTGTGCATGTGTTCAGTCCTTTAACTGTGACGTCCAGCAAAGCTGTAGAGAAGGCGTATTTTCTTAGTGTTGTGCTTGGGCAAGCTGTTGCTCTTGGGGGGGGGAGACAGCAAGTGAGCAAGCACACGCATGTGTGCATCTATGGGCTAAAAGCGACTACAGCTAGGTCTCTGGACCAGAGCCAGCATGGCCCTGCCACCTCTGAAGCTCAGTCCACGAGTGAAGACTTCCTGTATGCTCCTGGAAGCTTGAAAGCTGGGTTGGGGCTGGGGGGGGGGGGGGGCAGGCAGCAACAAATAAAGATGCAATAGGAGAGCGTTTTCTTTACAAGTAGTTTAGGTGTACCCAGCTCACAATTGAGAGCTGAGGAAGTGTGCCATGTGTTGGTGTTACCTTCCTTCTTGCGTTCGTCATGCTAGCAGCACTAACGAAACACTGCTATGAACTACGCTGATGTGTCACTTGCATTCAAGTTTGCTCTCCCTGCTGCCCAGCTTCCTGTTGCTCACCCGCCCGGCTGCCCTACCTGGGTGTAGCCCTCTCCTTTGCCAGCCACCACAAGGATGCAATTAATGCTGTGCTTTTTTTGTTTTTGTTTTTTTTTTTGCATTATTTCAGTAGTAACCTCTGCACTTCCTGGGGAGCTGCTGAAATGGGGTTGGGGGGGGGGGCTGAAAGCCCCTGCCTGAGGCAGTCCTAGACATGTACACTGTGCAGCCCATTCCTGGGCACCACCAGCCCTGCTGGTAACTCATCCCGTAAAATAAACTCGGGACGCTTTTGTCCTGTCACCTTCCTGTGCTTTGCTGCCATCAGCTTAAACAGTGGTTCCTACTGTCTAGCCTAAGAAGTCACCTGCTGAAAAGTAAAGTGATTCCCTCTTTTTCTGACTGCCAGATTGCTATTTAGATAGCAGAAAAATGTAAACTTTATCTTAGGCTTACACAAACCCCATAGCCTTTGCCCTCATAACAAGGCTCCTGTCTTGCTCCTCTCCAGTTTGTGTACATCTGCGTGGTAGTGCCTGTGCACACTCCCTGCTGAAGCCTCGTCACCAGCAGATAGTCCTGAATGTCTTCGCTTGTTTGATGTAGAGAAACCACTTAATACTCAGAATAATATTCCCCCTCACCTTTCTATTTATGTGATAATTCACAATCCCTTGGAAGAGCCAGTCTCTTTTTCATACTTCATTTATCCTTCTTAAGTTAAAAGTACACTTTATTTTACCAAGTGCAGCACTTGAAATGCACAGAGATATTTCATCAGTGTTGCTTTCTGAATCTCTTCTCTCTCAGCCTCAAAATGAAAAAATTTCTGTCCTACCTCTAAACTTGCAGCCCCCTCCAAAATGTTCTTTCCAAAATAACACATAACTGTTGAGATTTTTTTTTTCCAACGGATGCGGACAAAACCACCAGACTACCCAACTCTGTTTATCAAGATGCTGTCACTTTAGCCAAAACCTTAGAG